ACAAATTCCCCGTTATACAGTCCGATTTTCTTGATTTCACAACACTGGATGAGACAGGACTCCCGAGTTGCTCGTGTTCGTTTGACCTGATAGCATTGGCCAAGCTTGATGAAAACACGAAAAAAAAAGTATATTATATTTTGACCACAGAATAAATGTATTCAGCAGAAAATCCAAATTCAATTTTAATACGAAATCATTGAACGTGTTATATCACATAGGTTCCTAGGTGTTCTGTTTCATGAAAGTCTAAATTGGTCTTTCCATTTGCAGAGAGTAAGAACGGAAATCTCACGATCTATCAGGATTATCTATAGACTTAAAAATATGCTGCCTCAGTGGGTAAAAAAACAGCTATATTATACCTTAGTTCATTCACGTCTTCACTACTGTCTTGTATGGGGCGTCACAGTAAAAGCAAATATAGAAACCCCACACATATTCCATAAAAAGGCCCTGCGCTTGGTCGAAAGTGCCCCGTACCGGAATCACTCTGCTTCACTCTTTAGAAAGCATTGAATATTAACTATTCAAAATGTTATAAATAAGAAGTTATTTTTATTGATCTATAATCAGATGAAATTAGATCCAACTGCCTTTTTTCAGTACATGTCTTTGGAAAGCTCATCCATACAATTTTCGGCACACGAGCTACAGAAAGCAAAAAAATGCTCACAAAAACTATGGCATGCAAAAATTAGATTATCAAATACCTGTACCTTTAAATGACCACCCTGATCTCATGGCCATTATTCAGGGAGCTATGTCTATACAAGCTTTAAAGAAAACATAAATGTTTATTTATTCTCCCTTCCAAAGTAACAAGATTTTTTCTTTTTTTTTGGTGCAACGATTTTTTCAGGTTTAAAGAATTTTTTTTTTGTAGAGATGGCTGGCTGGCTGTACTATGTTGTTGTGTGTGGCCCTTTAGTTTACTGCGTTTGTGCAAACATAAAAATTGATGTGCGTTGTTTTTTGTCCAGTTTGGGGGACAATCTGGTTTTAGTTCCTTGGTTTTTGTCTTTATATACAGTGTATTTTTTTGCTGCTTAAAGGGTTTTATGTTTGATCTTTCATGATCAAGAAGTTTTCGTCCTCTGTGAGACTTTCATTTTGTCTGGCATGTTGGATGGTCTGGTCGTCAAGGGAAGGGGAGGGGCTTTCGCTTTGTCAAGCATGCCGATGCCTTTCGTGGCGGCCCCCCAGACAACTGTATTCCACATGGTTGTCTGAATAAACTTTGATTCGATTTGATAAGACCTTAAAAATGTCTAGTCCAGGCAGAAGAAGACAATATCTTGTCTTAGGTCCCTACTGTTTGGGTGAACAGGACTTCGTGATATGCAGCCACCAGGTCCAGTTTGGAGAAGTGGCGGGCACCGCTGAGGGCATGCATCAGTTCTTCCGTATGCGGCAACGGAGAGTTCTCGACGACTACTGCCTTGTTGGATTCTCTGAGGTCGACCCAAAAGCAGATGCTGCCGTCTTTCTTGCGGACAACAACTGGGGAAACCCATTCGAATGCACTAGTTCTTTCAATGGTGTTGGCAGCTTTAAGACGCTTCAGCTCGTTGGTAACTTGCTGCCGCAAGGCAAGCGGTAGACGCCTCAATTTCAGTTTCAGCGTGACTGGAACAACAGACTGCTTTATGTTGACCTTTCGCTGCACCCCTTGGCAAGTCCCAAACCTGGTGAGAAAAGGTGACCAAACTCTGTCATGAGCGGCGCTAGTAGACCAAGGCTCGGAGCAACCAGGGTCGGCTTCAAGGTGCTTGAAGGACAAGTGGAAGGGGAGGAGGCAAGCATGGCAGTGGTTGGTTCTGCTGCGGTGTACAAACAACGAAGCTCAGCACCCAAAATCTGAAGACCCAGAACTTTTACGGCATCGAGGCCTAGAAGCAATGTTTCACTAAGCGTGACATTAGAAGGTCAGCAGGGCCTCTCCTTTTTTGTGTGTGAAACGTGTGTAAAAGAAACCACAAAAGGAATCTTCTGCTGTGAAACGTCCAGTAGGGTAACTCGAGGGCTGCTCAGCTGTACCTTCTTCTGGAACAGGCTTGGAATTGTTCTTTCCCGATGAAGGAGACAGCGGAACCGGTGTCAATGAGGAACATGATGACAGGCGGTGGCGACGTCGAGGCAAGTGGCACCACTCGGATGTCAACATTGACGCCTGTATGCTTGTCAGTATGGATGGAAAGAATGCTGAAGATGTTCGCTCAATCCTAGTCTGGGAACACTTAAGGAACTCGAGTTGAACTTCCCCTTCGGTTGTGATTGGAGTGTCGAAAGACGTAATGGAAATGGCTGCGGCGTTCGCACCCGAAGCAAGTACAACCACGTGCGGGGCAGCGAGACGAGTCACATGTTGATGTGCTGCAGTTTCCACATGCAGCAGGACTGTTGGAGCCGGAGTACGGAACGACGCTGTCGGAGTTTCGTGATGCTGGTGTGCGAGCATGGTGAACCCGAGGAGGTAGCTCGCTGAAGGGTTGGCGTAGCCCTCGAGGGTGGCGGTCCATCTGGACATCGCAGCATGGTAAAGCAGCCGTACTCTGTTGAATACCTTGAGCTTATTTGGAGCGGAGAGGGGGGGAAGGAGTCCCATACCTCGATGTAGGGCTTAAAGAGCTGTAAGTCAATGATATCTCGTTTTCCAAGCAGTGGGAGGAGCGGTTTGCATTTTAACATGGACAAATGCTTCGCAGGGTTCTCGGCGTATGGGCGGATCTTGTACTGTAAAGACCCACTGTCGAAACACTGCCCCGGGGTGGGCTGCATACTCCCGAGGTGTTGGAACTTACTAAGGGTGCTGGAGGGGCTGGTAGGGTTTCGGGTGGGCGCCGAACTGTAGCCCGAAGGCCGCGTTGTGGGCGACTGGGTGCACCTCATATCCTCCGAGAGTCGGCTGCCAGGTGTATGCGGCCTTGCTGGTGGACGGTCTTGCAGTGATGTGACTGCTGCGCCAATTGCGCCAAACTGCGCCAAGGAGCTAACCCTGCTACATCCTGCTACATTTTGCCAAAATATGGGTAATCCGCGCCAAGCTTGCGCCAAAGGACCATTTTGGTCGTCTATCAAAACTGAAACTGAACTGAGAACCGTAATTGAGCATGCGTGAGCTAGGTAGCGCAAGCGGCTGCCCGACACATCGTCTATCCGGTATCGCATGGCTTTTCCCGCCGTCTCGCGTTCCGCGCTCTCGTCGTCTCGGAAATCTCGTTTCGCGTCTTAAAAAAAAAAACAAAAAAAAAACTCAAGGATAGACGTGGGCGTATGCGAACGCTCCGACGTTAGTGTTCCGGGAGTGTCGTGCCGATAGTGTGTCTCCACATCGCTGCAGATATGGCGCTTTCATAACTGAAACGCATCGACATTCCTTTTCTTATTAGAATCGACCGCTGCTACAAAAATCCCTATTTAACTCAACGAATGCTTGGCTCAGTATTGAATATTTAGGTTTCTCTCGGTGGGCTTTCCTTCGAGAGGGACCCCGGTACTTGAAAAATCTGCCGTGACAGAAAGTTGGTGAAGTGAGCTACAGCAAAGAAGACAATGTCTGCACGCTGAACCCGCACAGCGCGCTTGTTTGCTACGAGTTCAGTCGTTGCACAAAGCGTTCCAAGAACTTTTTGACCCTGGCTCGCGATGTCATACACCGATCCGCCCAGGTTCTTTTTTTTTCTGTGTTAATTTAGCTTGTACCCCGCCTGCCGGTCTGGCAAGCACGCGCCGCTGGACTGTTTGTGTGCTGGACAGTTACATTTTGCATACTATTTTGGGAACCAGTTGGCGACGGAGCGGAGTTGCATGGCTTCGGTTTCGATTGAGCAGCCGTTGCCTCCGGGCGCGCGACGAAGCACGTGCAATCGCAAGCCTGTCGAAGTTGCCCTCACATGCATGTGAACATGATTGCACGAAAGAGGCCCCTTTCCGGGATGCTTGCAATCCATTGTTTTACATTCGCTTACTTTTTATAAAAATCTTGCACGTCGAGAGCCAGTAAAACGGTGGCAAGTGTTTTTTTCGGAATTGCTCGGCAACGCTTACATCACTGTATACTTGTGGGATGTCTCAGCAGTAAAAACACAAGCAGCGAGTTACGTAAAAACACAACACAAACTGCCCTTCGTTTGTCCAGCACTCAAAACAAATATTTATTTTTCTAAGAATCGCCCTAAAAGCCACCTTTTCTGCACTGAAACACTGTTTTGGGGGGTACTCCACCGATTTTTTGAGCTACCTCAACTATTTATATTTTCTGACTCCCCGGCCTTTAGCTTTTCCGGTATGCTATTCAGCATCGCGAAATTAATAATAGGTATTGTGAAATCGGCAAATGAAAATGGTGCAAAAACCAATATTCAAATATTCGCGCACTTTTCAGTGCCGTGACGTCAGTGGCAGGCAGGCAGGCTCGCCAGTCGAGCAAGTAGTCTCAAAATAGAATATGCCAATCATTTGTTCCGTGCTGGAGCGCGGATACGGGAGCGAGCTTCCAAAGCACTCATTTGACAACAAGAAACTGCTTCAAATCCGTTGGGAACAACTTCTGTAGTCCAAAAAGTTAACCCCTGTCTTCCACTGACGTCACGTTGTTGTTGTTGCCAGTAGAGACTTTCAGTTTGAAAAACATGGTGAAGACCAAAACTGTAAATTCAATACCTTCGCGAAAAAACAATATTTTGACCTAACATTTGGGATACTATTTTAGGAATGTTTGTTGGTTAGCTTAGCAAAATTTCAAGCAAATAGGAGACAATGAAAAAACCGGTGGAGTACCCCTTTTTTGCTGCTCCAAAGACCACATTTGCTGCTCCAAAACACTGTTTTGGCTGCTCCAAAAGGTGCTCCAAAATGGCTTAGGGCAATCACATCACTGGTCTTGCAGAGGTGGCGTGTTGCGGAGCGGCGTGTGCAGAACTTGCTGATATCCTTCCTGGCTGGCTTTCTCTGGTGTCCTGGTCTCGGGCCCGGAGGCGGGTGGCGAGTCGCTTAAGGTAGTAGGCCACTCAAAAACAAAATATTTTTTTAAGAGCAGCCAGCGTTGAAATAACTATTTCCTCAAAACAAGCATGTCTTATTTAACTTACCCAGCCATTTACAGTGCAAAATATTGAATATTTATTTATTGGGAGGTAATCTTTGTCAAAAATTGCATTAAAAGTGCTAGCCACGCCAGCTGTGATAAGTGAATAATGGGTGGCTTTATTCAGTAAAGCTTTGACATTTGTGTAACTAATGGCTGGAGCTATGCAGTGAACTAGAATAAATATTATGCAGTAAATATCAAGGAAGTAATGTTAAAAAAACAAGAAAACGGGGAAAAAGAGCCAATTTAGACTGAACCTGTTTGAGAATTCAGCTGTGAATTGAAAAATATTCCATGGATTTCTTTTATTCTAGTTGACTGCACAGATATATATGTTGTAAATCATTGTGCAAAATTTCAGTTCAAAGTATACGCTGATAAATAAGTTATGAAAGTTTGCGTCGCAACATTTGGAGCAAATTGTTATTTTCAGAAAAACGTAAACAAAGATTTCCGAGCTTGTAAAAAGTGTCACAATCTTCGCATGCAGTCCTAAAATGCACCAGATTCATAGCTGGGCCCTTCTGCGGAAGCATTATAGTCTCCTTTTCTTCGGGTGGCCGCTCGTCTTTTCTTCCTGGCCTGTTTTGTCCCATCCGCTGACTTGCGTTTAGCATTCTGCATGCGCTGGTGATCCCCCGCGATGCAAGCTTTCGTCGTGTAGTACCCTGGTTCTATGCCAGCTTGCCTCAGGATATCTAGGGTGCTTACACTGCCATTATTAAAGTGTGCCACAGCATCATGCAAGGCAAACATTACTGTAGGCAAGCTTACGTAGACCTCTTTGGGTGCCTGCTTCCATATTAGACCATTGAAACACTCATTAGCATTTTGCGTCTTTCCATGCAGGCACTTCATTAGAAGTTCATCAGAGCACAGATCACTGTAGACAGTTTTAACTTTGTTGAGCACATCATCTGGAAGTCCTCCTTTGTGTACATATTTCCCTTGGCCGAGTGCTTCGACCCTTTGGTATCCGCACCAGCTTTTCGGTCCAAGTGGACACAGGCCATGTCTCGGCTGCTTGTCGGTAGAGCTGCAATGAAAAAGACTGGCAAGGGTAGCTTTTTTCATTGCAGAAAGGTTCCCCACATTAGCCCTTATGGCGAAGCCATAGTAGTTTTGCAGGCGGTCAATGAGGGCATCAGTGAGCTTTCCCTTACCACCGAGTCCACGCACTGTCTTCTTCAGTTTTCTGAGGCGGCAGCCAACACGCTTCTGGACATGCCCAATGCATTCCAGTTTCTGCACACTGTCCTTCCCATACATGTCTTTCACAGCGGCATAGCTCTTGGAATCACCATCGCCGTAGTACTGCAGGTACTTCAAATCCCTTTTGCCTTTCGACCTTTCAAATATTCGGTATAGACCAACCGTCTCCATACTGCCAGCACTTCCTTCATGGTTTGCTTGACAGGAAGTGTGGTTTGCCTTCCATTCCTGGTACGAAGCACTATCTTGCCTCAACTTGCTTTTGGTTTTACAAGACTTACACGAGCTAGAAAGGGCCTCAACATCAATAACTTTTCCCGTGTCAACAGAAATCACAGACACACAACCGTTCAAAGATGAATGGCCACGCTTCTGCCACGTGCCATCACCTGAAACACCACACTCGGCACTCCCCACAACACGACGAACTTCCACAGCAGCATCAGTCATCGACTTCGACGCCACTTCTCTTGCCGCTGCAGAAAGCCGAGATGACAATTTGTCGTAGGCGGAGTGACGTGGAGGAGCAGGCATGTTCATCACTTTGGAAAAAGTTTTCGCACCAGCGTGCCCTTTTCCTAACTGGCGCATCGCGTAAACCAGACGTAAATTGTTCTCATTGGCACGACCCACCTTTCTCGACGTATGAAATGGGCGCTCGAACCCACAGTTGGTACACACGACCGCACAAGCCGAGCATATCCCTTGGTGAGAGCGTTCCCCGAGCTTCAGTGTTGTGTTCATGCATTCGGAACATGCCAGCGATGAAAACACTGAAGAAAGAATACCAATGTCCATTATCCTGTTCCCTTGGAGCGTAGAATTCTCTAGCGGAGCCTTGTACGCCTTGGTTATGTCCCCAAGCTTCTTCGCGGTCGCCGAAATACCGGCGTCTGTGTCAGTAGGCAGCCTCGTCGTCGTGTAGCGATTTCCAGCAAACTTGCGCTTCCTCGTCTTCTGTGTTCTGCACTTACCCATGCTGGTCGTAATATGGTCCAGGTGACCTAAGGATACAGCCCTAGTAGCGTTGACACGTGGAACAAATGCAGAACGAAGCCTGACGTACCCTGACCAAGGCAAACAACAAAAATTCCGACGAGCATTGTGCGTCCCCCTTGTGGCTGTTTTTAGAGATAAACGAACACTTTTAAACACAAAGTTGTATTTAATGACATGTTCTTATATAACAGTCACAATAAAATGCATAAAGTATTTTGAATAGCATTAATATAGATGAAACAACACTTTTGGAAGCGATTTTTCGAAACCGAAACCACAGTTGGAAATGTGGTTTCGGTTTCGCTATAGGAGCATAGGGTATAGAAACTTGCTGTAACTCGCAAACTAATGACGATAGAAGGATAATTTTTGTTGCAACATATATGTGAATGTTTGGGCGTGCAAAAAAAACAAAAACCTGAAAATTGATCTCGCGAAAAAAAAAAGACTTTTGAAGGTGGCCTACCACCTTAAAGGGGTACTCCACCGATTTTTTGAGCTACCTCAACTAACTATATTTTCTGACTCCCCGGCCTTTACTCTCTCCAGTATGCTATTTAGAATCGCGAAATTCATAATAGTTATTGCGAAATCGGCAAATGAAAATGATGCAAAAACCAACATTCAAATATACGCGCGCTTTTCAGGGCCGTGACGTCAGTGGCAGGCAGGCTTGCCAGTCGAGCAAGCAGCCAAAAAATAGAATATGCCAATCATTTGTTCCGTGCTGGAGCGCGGGTACTGCAGCGAGCTTCCCAAGCATTCATTTGACACTATGAAAGTGCTTCGAATCAGTTTAAAACAAAATCTACAGCCCAAAGAGTGAACCCCTGCCTTCCACTGACGTCACTTTTTCATTGTTGCCAGTGGAGACTTCGAGCTTGTAAAACACGGTGAGGACCAAAGCTGTAAATTCAATAACTTCGCGAAAAAACAATATTTTGACCTAATATTTGGGATACTATTTTCGCGATGTTTGTTCGTTAGTTTAGCAAAATTTCAAGCAAATCGGAGACAATGAAAAAATCGGTGGAGTAGCCCTTTAAGGGTGTGGCAAGTGTCTCCTGGATGGCTGTTCTGTCCTGTCTCATGATCTCAAGGATCTGGCACATATGTTGCTCGCTATCATCCGCCAGACCACTGCGTGGGACTTTGGTATGATCGCTTATAGCAGCCTGATTGGTAATGTCCAGGAGGTATTCATCATTGTTGTCCTCAGCTGGTGTCTTCTGGCTGTCCTTTGGCGGTTCGAGGCTGGGCAATGCGTCCGCACTGTAAGTTCTGGTCTACCCTGCTCGCGCTTTAGGCTCGTAGTTGGAGAAACGGTGTGCTTGCGGCCAGTCCTAAGCTCCGTCCACTACACCTAACCACCACATCGGTAGCAACCTGCTTCACGAGCTCTTGTGGATGCCGCAGATGGCTACAGCAAATTCCTCTGATGTGATATAATTACATGATAAATTTAATTTAGCTCAGGAGAGCCGCGGCACCGCAGAAAGGCAAATCGCCCATACCTTGAAGGACTGCGGCGCCGCTTCCAATAATGAAATGGTATTATACTACAAATCCTACTCCTCTGCAGAGTAAAAATGGGTTACAGACCTGTTGTGTGAATGCCCCGCTTCTCCTCCGAGTCACCTTTTCCATCTGGATTTAGCGTTACCCCAACAGTTTTTTAGTTGTTCAACGTCCCGTGAAAGGACATGCGTCTGGCAGTTATACTCAATGCAGAGTATGTTCCATGCTTCAATTTTAGCTTCTATCGAGAAGTTGTTAGCAGTTTTGTTTTTTATAACTATTCCATACTTTTTGGATGACGTTCCGAGGATATCCTGCTCCTCCTTCATGTAGATTCCTCGTCCCTCCGTGGCAGCTTCCTTGGACATTGTTGGAGGTTGCTAGAAAAGACACTGTGGTAGCCCTGAAGGAAAAGGAAAGGTGGAAGATAATCATTTTAGACATGAAAAAGGACAGTGAGACGATGATGCAGATACAAACCTCTGTTTAGGCGTGCGATGCAGAAAGGATGCGAGCTGTTCACCTGCTAAGACACATTAAACAATTCTTGTTACAAAGCAGCAAACTTGCAGCCTTCCAATTCAATGTCACTAAAATGTCTTAAATAAAATGAATGAATAGGTTCCTATTTTACACCACAATAATGTTTTAAATTTACCTCTCACAACAACCTCATAACTAGACGCCTGTCATGTCTCCGAGCTTCCTCGAGTGGAAGAGGGTTTCTCGAGGAGCTCCTCATCGTAGAAATCGCCGAGGCTCAGTTTTGAAGCCCAATGGCTCCTCGAGTGAAGGCGCGCTTCTTTCCTCCCCTCCATGGAGTTGAGGTAAAGCACCGAGTCAAGGCGCATTTATAAATCTGGCTGATATTCACCTTGGTTTAGTAGAGTGCAGCACACACGCATTGATTGTTTTTTTCTAACAGTGCTGATTCTTATCCTGTACGGGTAGTGAAGTGGGGTGAGTGACCCTCCTGTAAGGAATTGGTTGCATTTTTAACTTATTTACTTCATATGCATTATGTAGCAAAAGCTCTAGGAGTGCTAGCTAGCTGTTAAATTTTTCACCAGAAGAAAGCTGCCAATTTTTTGCAAGAAATTTATAAGCATCCAAATGCTGGGATTAGAAAAGAAATAGCTTGTCATGGGTGTCTCCACTCCAGTGTCTGTTTTTACTAGCTTTAGTTGGTTGTTTGGGTGGCCGAAAACACTTTCGCCATAGCAACAGGCCACTTGTGCGGTGTTTGGGAGCTTGCGGGACACACAACAATTTCGTTTTTGACCAAGAGAATGTCATTTTCTTGCTCCCGAGAATGCATCCGTGAATACAGATTTTGTGACTTCTTACGACGTGCATAACTCACAACTTCTTAGCAAAATTGTTTTAACAAGACATTCTTTCTTAATGTGGCATCTGGCTTTTGACGTATGCTGCCCATCTCTGTGCTTTAAAGACTGCCTTGAGAAATGAAGTACAGGCAAATCCAGAGCTATAGGGGGACTGGGTGCCCTCTGCCGGCACTGTTTAAGTTGCAGTGTCCTTCTGTGGCCTGGATTACTAGGTCGTCCCCTTGCAGTGTTAAGGCTGAATAAAGATATGTGTGCCTTGTGAAGGAGTTGTCTTAGTGCATGCCCAACGCAGAAGAGCAACACAGCCAATGTTATGAAAGGAGAAAAAAGGTACATTTATTAATATGAGGAAAGCGTTTAGCGCTAAGTCTAGTGATCATTGCTCTCACATTCTTTGCCTTCCCAAGAAAATTTTCTTGTCTGCCACTGTAGTGAACGTGGCCGCTTTGGTGGGTCGGAGGCAAAGTGCCGCAAAGTAGAAATTTTGGCTAGTTGGTTCATGATCAGTATTTACAGCGCCAAAAAACGACAGGACAAAGACGAGAGTAAACAGGACGAGGCGCACTCGCAACTAAAGTTTATTTAGGAAAAAACACATAATATATAGGCCGTTAAAAATGCCTATTCGTCCCATCAATCCAGAAGACCTCTTGATAAGATCAAGCTCTTTCCCTGAGAGGGCAAGGGAAGGCTCGCTAACGCATTCATCTCCCTTTGCTCTAATCTCAAACGCCTCGTGCACTTCTCGGCATATTTTATCCTTGTATTTCGCCAGAACCTTCACATCATGCAGAACTGGTGAGCACGGGCAGCGACTGCAATGAACAGCTAGGTTACCAGACGGGCTTGCTCTCATAGCTGACGCATGTTCCCGTGCACGATCATTGACACATCTGCCAGTCTGGCCGATGTACACGGAGCCGCAAGTCAGCGGAATTTCGTAAACCACTCCGACGGCTCACTCAGCATATTTGGTTTTGTGTTTTGTGCCGCACTGCCCCATGTCTGTCTGGGGATTATTGATTCTACGGCACAAGCGTGCCATCTTTTCCGGAGCTGAAAATACTACGGGTACTCTAAACCGCTGTGCAACTTTCTTTAAATTATGGGACATGGCATGCAAGTACGGAATAATTACCGGTCTCGTTTTTGGCTTCTCTCTTGCCCGATTAGTTGCCCCTTTGAATTTTTTTAACAATCCTTCTGCAACCTCCGTCAGGCATCCTTGTGGGAAACCTGCTTTCTGCAGGCGTGAAATCTGTAGATTAAAGCTGTCTTGCACAGAATGTTCACAATATCGTTTTAGGGCCATCTCCAAACACGTGCTAGCAATGCCCCTTTTTACCAATTTTGAATGGGCAGACTCGTACGGCAGGATGCATTTCTTAGATCTTGGCTCGTACGCCCAACATATGTGACTCTCCAGAAAGCGTAGTTTTAAGTCAAGGAACTGCAGTGTCCCTTCTACCGGCTTCTCGTGCGTAAACCTCAGACCTCCAGAACACGAGGAAAACACATCGAGCATCTGGGTTACAACGCCATCCAGCGATCGCTCTGCCAAGTCGCTGAACACAAGGTAATCATCAACGTACCTATAAATCTTTATGCTGTTGTCGTGCCCCAGGTTCTCGGCAATGGTGTTGTCACATTGGCTTAAAAAAATATCGGATAGCACCGGCGCGACACACGACCCGATACAGATGCCCTTCTTTTGGACGTACATATCACCTTGAAAGGAAACATACGTGTGCGACAGATAAAACGACAACAGTTCCAAAAAACTCTCCGCACTGATGCCACTTGAATTGGCAAATGACACCTCACCGTTCCGTTCTATGCATTTTCTAACCCCCGAAAAGAGATGGTCGTGCGGGATAGAATAAAAAAGGTCTTCCACATCCAAAGAAAAAGCACTACGCATCCCATTAGCGTCTCCCTTCAAAAAATCAATAATCGTTTCCGAATTTCTAACCAAGAAAGGGTCGTGTAGTTCCAAGCACGACAGGTGTTTGGCGAGAAAGCTGGACAGCTGGGATTGCCAAGATCCCCTCTCTGTAACAATCGCTCTAAAAGGAATACCTATCTTATGCGTCTTGGCAGAAAAGAAAATGTCTAAATGGAGTCCCTTGCTAGATTGCACTCTTTTCAGAAGTCCAGGAAGGTTCATTTCACTGCAAAGTTCCTTAGCGCGCGTCTTGAGTTTGGTCAAAGGTCCCGGACTCACTTTCTTGAAGT